GTAATCAGGTGTCTCATGAGGCTGTTTAGAAGACTCTCCATTTGCCCTATTTTTAGATTCCATTGACTGCAACAATTCCAAAATCTTTCCCATTTGTTCCTTAAATTGATTTACCTCTTCGCTCATCTCCTCATGCTGTTGCTCCAAGTCGTCTACCATCCCTTCCATGATTTTGGTCTTTGTTCGTGTCTCGTAAGGGTGTCGAACAGATGTTTTCTTTGCCTCAATAGTTGTTTTCTTTTTCAATTTTACAACTGTATAAGAAAATTTGATGAGTATGCGGTGTTATGAAAATGTAACTATGTATCATGTATATGCAAATGCTAAATTGTTGGAGAGCCATAAATCGCATGACTCGCGTGGAATCATCTTTCTTTAATTGTCTCTTAGATCGTCACGTTCTAGGCACTAGGTCATGGAATCAGTGGATCTTTGTGATCATGGTCAATTAAACTTTTCTTTTAGAACGTCACGTTTTAAGTACGAGTAGTTTTCGCATGAGCATCCTCTCTTAGCTTTCATTTTTAGAGCGTAACATTATGACATATATAACGAATAAGGAAGAGAAATCAAAGTAGAAACTGGCAAGTTTCTTCATTAATAATAATAATGCAATACATCAGGTGAAGCAATACATCATGATAACTCAGAGATAAAAGTACAAATCATTCACCACTAATAGCCATCTCTCTCATCTTAGCTATCATATCTCTACAGTGTTTAAGGAAGTCATAAATTTCTTTGGGAGTAGAATGTGGGATCGCCATTCCTTCAGCTCGTTGTAGTATGTGAGAGGTGTCATTGAGCATGTTTTTAACTTGCTGAACTCGATTCACAAGATTATATGCCCAAATTCTTTTATTTTCTTCATGTATTCCGATGACATCCCTTAATTGCCTTATTTCTTCCTGTAGGCCCATAACCTGATGATTTTTCTCCCCCAATGTGGCTTGATAGTCCATATTCAAATTGAAATTTAGTTTTTTTTCGCCTTGAACTCTGCTTTCGTACTTAGCCACTACCCTTTTGAGTTGTTGCTTCAAATCCTTAAGTTGTTTTTGTGCCAATCTCTCAACTTTCTTGGATGTTTCACATGCCTCTTTCCATCGTTCACCATCAACCCTAGCTTGGTCACGTTCATCTCTCTGCATCTTTAACTCCATGGCAGCAGCCTCTAAACAACTGCGGGTGTTCAACTTACCTTCTTCTTCAATTCTTGCTCGCTAATTGGCTAGTTCAACACGTTGTCTTGCTTGAGAAATTTCTCTTTGCACTTCTTGATACTTTTGGCGTGCCTGTATTAATTCTCTCTTCATATCTTCTCTTTCTTTCTCAGATTTGGCTAACTCTTCTTTAAGTTTTTCGATCTCCTCTAGACTCATGGGTTCTTGAATTGTTGTTTCTTCAATAATTAGAATGGGACCTCGAAATGGTAACTTGACATGTTGTACCCTCTCGCTGAGCCACTGTTGATAACTCCCCTCCACATAACAATTTCTTTTTCCCAATTCTCTCCCTTTCTTGATCACCCTGTCCCAAGAATGTCTAATCTTGTTAAGCATATCCAACTCCTTAGTCATATCATAAACCATGAAAGGAGTAATTGAATCCTCAACCGGTGGAATTCTAATCGGATAACCGAGTTGCCTTATCGCAAGAGCGGGGTTGTAGTTTACACATCCCTTAGTACCCATGAGTGGTACGTTCGGGAAATCTCCACATTGACAAACCACTTCATCAATGTTTTGCTCTCGTGAGTACCAAGAGATGGTCTTTTCACTAAGATTTGTTATGTTGTGAGCCCATTCACTCTTATTTTTAATCTCAATTTGACTTCCTCTCTTGAACATGTAAGATGTGAACCACAAGTATAGTATAGGCAGACAACACAAAATCATCCCACCCCTTCTCTCATGGCGCAATGTAAAAGAATGATATGTATCAGCAAGGATGGCTGGTATGGGACTCTTTCTTTCATGTTTGAAGGCCAAGAAGATGTCGATCGCAGCAAAGTCAATGAAGTTTTCAACATTTGGGAATAAGACAATCCCATAAATAATGAGGGCGAGCACATCCATGAAGGCGTCCCATTTCCCACTCTCTGCTAAGCTCAAGGCACATCGCTCAAGGTTAATTCTCGAGAAACCTTCAATCCCCCCCTTTATCTCTTTCTTGCTTGCTAGTTCTCTGGCATCAATCCCCAAGGATGTGGCAACTTTGGTTAATGAAGGATAATGTCCCATGTACATATAAGGCTTTTCATTTCCTAAGCAAATCCCCAATATCTGTTCGAATTCCTCGAGAAATGGTGCCAGTTGAAAATCTTGAAAGAGAAAATACCTCAAAGGAGGGTCATAGAATTGGGCTAGGGCAGTGAGAGCTCCCTCTTGTACGTCTACCTCCAATAGGTTAAGGATTCTTCCATATCGAACAACAAAAGTTCATTGCTGACCACCTTTTAACATGTTACTAAGAGTCTTCAAACTACTCAAATCCCTTTGTCTGACCTTTAACTTCAAAGTCTTCCTTAAACTTGATTCCATGACTTCTCGAAAGGTGTTCGTAGCGACTTAAGTCTTTATGACTCCCCAACAACCTGGAAATGAATGCAACATGCTATTGATGAATTTATCTGTTTCATTTTTATATGATTCTTTTTTAAATGCATGATATGATGTAAAAGTTTATTTTTTTCAATTTTTTTTCATGAAATGAAATGCATGATACTTGTTACGGAATGGAATAACAAATTTCTTTCTTTTTTGCGTCATTCAAATATAGAGGTAGAATATTGCTCCTGTGACACTTAACAAGGGCATTCCTAAGTTGAAAGCTCTATAGACCACTAATATGTGTTCCTCTCAAAAGGGTGGGGCTATAGTTCTAAAACAGGTTCCTAGAGCCAATAACCCTTCTTAGGATATTAGTCACAATAATAGGTAAACTATTAGAGGTGATAATACCCTTGAAAGGATCAAACTCTAAGTGAGGCCTTCATAATAACCAAACAAGATGTTCATCAAGAAGGTTACCACTACTCAACCTCTTACTTATAAGTTGCACTCAAGTGCGGGCATAGGACCCCACTCATAAACGTGTGTGAAATTGTGCAAGTGAAGTGTGTGAAAGGAGCAACTCTACACTACCCAATCTACAAAACACAACACATATGATATAAAAAATATAATTCTTCTATCCTAAAGTTCAAATTACACAACACATATTTATAGAATTCATGCGAATAAGACAAACAACAAATAAGGGACATAAATAATAAATAAAAAAATAAGAATAAAAAATAAGTGAGATAAAAATTTTATAAAAAATAAAATTCTTTTATCTTATAGTTCAAATTACACAACACATATTTATAGAATTCACGCAAATAAGACATACAACAAATAAGGGAAATAAATAATAAATAAAAGTGAGATAAAATTTTTTATAAAACTTATTATTAATTAGCTTAACTAATTATCATAGGCTTGACTCTCAAAAATATTCTCCAACGGTGTCGCCATCTGTCGTAACCGAGATCGCGACGGGACGATGAAAAATAAATTAAAAAATAGGGAGTTTCCACCAATGTTATTTTTACGAAAAAAAACATTAGAAAAATCATAAAAAAGAAAATAGTCTATGAAAACATGATTTTTGAGTTCGGGAGTCGATTACGTGTGAGGAAGGTATTAGCACCTCACAACGTTCGTCCTAAGACGATTACCTTTAATTAATTAAACAAATTATTTATAATTTATAAAATATTTATCTCACTAAAATAATCAATTATTTAACTAACTTAACTAATGCATTAAAAAAGTTAAAATTATTATTGTTATATAAAAAGGAAGATAATATATTTTTTATTTTTTTGGCTCGACAAGATTTTTTTCTTGCTCCTATGTATCTCCATGTGTAATGAAGAATCAGAATCACGTAGTTCTTTGTAGAAAATATTTGTATGTTGATATTTTTTAATTAAATTTTATTTTAGTTAAATATAATATTATTGAATTGTCTCAACCCATTCACCCTAAAAATATAAAATTGACTAAGGTGTACACCAAAGTCAATTCAATAAAACTTTAATTATAATTATAATCATTGTTATCGAAATTATTGTTACTATGATATTTTCATAAAAGATTTTCTTGTTGTATATTTTTATGTTTGGGAAATAAAATCTAAAGATATCTAAATGTCACAACTTGTATCTTAAATTTAAAGGTTAAAAAGATGTCACATCTAATTAACCATTCTTCAAATAAATTCTTTTATATAATAATTTCAAATATTTATGTTGAATATTATGGTAATATTTTGATGTTTAATTATGCATTTTTGAATAAAAAACTTTAAAATAATAAGTTGTCACAACTTATATCCTTAAGTTTTAGGATTAAAAGAATGTCACATTCAAATAATCTTCTTTTTGATAGATATAATTAATACTAATATTGATAAGAGAATATGACGGTAATTATTATTATTGTTGTTGTTGTCTAAATAAATTAAAAGATCATGTAAATATCTAACACATTTGTATAAAGAAATAACTTAATCAAATAAAATCAATTAAACTAATTTTATTAAAACAAGAAACAAATATCATCATCTAATATTAAGGAAATACCATATACAAATAATCTCCTATTTTATAAATATAATTAATACTAATATTAATAAGAGAATATTACAGTAATTATTATTATTATTATTATTATTATTATAATAACTATTAAACATATTAAAGTTATGTGACAATTAAATATATAACTTTATGTAAGGATTTAATTTATATATATATTTTATACGTATACTTACTTCTTATATATACATATATAATATTATTATAATTACAATTATAAAATATATCATTTTAGTAAAATATCATCTGATTACTCTTTTTTTTTTTTTAAAGTTAATTAATTGTTTGTTGGATGGGCTTTGCCCATATGCTGGCCCAAAATGGAAGGAAAAAAAAGGGGATCAGATGGCACTTGGCCATTTCATGGAAACCCTAAAAATAGAAAAGGGTGAGAGGAGTGGGGGAGGCTCTGCTAGGGTTTTTGCCCGCAGCCTCCCTCCACGGACGTCGACGGCGCGACGAACACTGCCATGGCATCGTCATGGCTAAGGTGGACGGCCGGCTATGCAGAGGGAAGGAGGAGATAGCTAAAAAGGAAAACGAAGAAAGGGAGAGGGTGGTGGCCGCCACCGGAAATCGTTTTCGACGGTGGTGTGCGGTTTGTCTCGGTCGGGCATAGTAAAGGTCCGCGGAAAAGGTTAAAGGCTGACGATGCCGCCACCGGAAATCGCCTCCGACGGCAGCGCGCAGCAGTGCACGGTGACATTTGCGGTGGCCAGAAATCGCCTCCGGCAGCGGTGCATAATGGTGTTCACGGGAAGCACCGTTTTTCTGGTACTGTTCATCAACCCTTTTTATTTTATTTTCATCTATTTTTCTATCTGGATTTTTTTACTTGTTAAATGCTTTACTGAGGTTTGAGAATGAGGGTTTCGATTTCATTGTAAAAGGTTCACTAAAAATAAAATTGTCTTACTGATTAGAAATTGTTTTGCATCCTATATAATAACAACATCATACTAAATAAAAATCGGAAAGGGTAATTGATACCTCCACTACTTTGGCCTCTTATTTTGCCTTCTGCTTGAGTTGTTTCTATTTGAAATTTTTGTTATCCTTGATTCTTCTCTATTTCAAAATTTTTCCTGTCCCCCCTTTGTTCGTGTTTTGTTCTATTATATATAGACTCACTATTGTTTTTAATTGTTCTTTGGCCGTTGGTCCAAGCTCATGCTTTGGGAAGGATATATGGCAGGAGCATGCTCTTGGGGACATGTTGGTGGCTAGGGCAGAGGAGCTCAGCAAGCTTGTTGGAGGAGAAATAACCATACAGAAGTGTAGGATGGTAGAGATCTTGGGTGCAGAGGAAAAGATTGTTTTGTTATTTTCTTGTATTTTTCTGATTTTCTTTTATATTTTTTTATTTATTATTTATGCTCATTATGTGTATTTTTTGAGTTTAAATCTAGTTTGTAAATTATTTGTGTAACGTAGTTGGTAGATTAGAACAGGGCGTTCCAAAATTGGAACGGGGCGTTCCAAAATTGGAACGAGCCGTTCCAATTTACTAAAAGAAGGGTGATTTAGTAGCCTAGAACGGGCCGTTCCAGACTACTAAATAAGCTTGTAAATCCTAGACTGGAATAGGCTGTTCCAAACGTGGTTGTTGTGAGTTAAATTTAACTCTAGAATGGGTCGTTCTAGTTTAGGAACGGGTCGTTCTGGTTTCAGAACGGGCCGTTCTAATGTGAATTTTTCACATGATGAAGGAGTCCAGAACGGGCCGTTCCGGATTCGAAACGGGCCGTTCTGGCCACTCCTGGACTTCTATAAATAGGACCTATGTGCAGATGAGGAGGAGAGGTTTTAGAGAGAGGTTCTAGAAAAAAGGACCCTGGGTCGGTGAGCTCGTTTCTCACTCAACTTTCTCTGTATAACTCTTCTTTTCCTCTAGGTCACTAATTCTTCTGTCTTCCCTTGAATTTCATACTAGAAAGCTTACTTTTGGGAGGATTGAAGTTCAAGAGTCGAGCTCAGATATTTCTTCTTTTTCTTCTTCTTCCTCTCAGATTCTTGGCTTTTAGAGCCAATCTTCAGGTTAGGGAATCTTCATGCAATGGTTGAGTTGTTTGGTGTGGATTGAGTTAAAAAGTTGGGTTTTGTTGTTTGAAAGAAAAAGAGATGATTGATTTAAATTAGTGGTTGCATGTAGTTGTTCTTGTGTTTTAGAAGTTGTTTATGACGTGATTAAGTTGCTAAGTTGCCTGATGAAGATGAGTTAGGTAATTGTTGACTTAAGTTGTTTATATGTTGTGTGTTGATAAAATGTGATATGTTGTAAAAGTTGCTATATGCTGTGTATTTGGTGAAACTAAGTTATTTTTATGTTGTTTATTGTTGAATTATTAATAAGTTGAGATGTATAAGTTGAAGTAGTTCATTGTTGTAAAGTTGATATTATGTTGACTATAGTTGCTCTAGTTGTTTAATTAAGTAGCATAAAGATGCCTATTGTTGTAAAGTTGAAAGTTGCCTTAAAGTTGTTGAAGTTGAGACAGATGACTATAGTTCTAAAGTTGTTATGATGGCTGTAGTTGTGAAGTTGTTATGATGCCTATAGTTGTGAAGTTGTTATGATACTTAGTTGTAAAGTTGTAAAAAGTTGCTTATTGTTGTAAAGTTGTAAAGCTGCTTATTGTTGTGAAGTTGAAAAGTTGGGGACATATGGTGAAGATATATGTCCTATGTTGAGATACATAGTACTAAGGAGATAATTAAGTTGAAAGTTGTTTTAAAGTTGAATCCCTTAGTACTGTGTGGGTGACATGGAAGTAGTCGAACCATGTCATGGTTGAATGACCAATTTGAGTAAGGTATCTAGCTAGAGATGTAGTCTTTGACTAGGTACTGGAGGGTGAATGGTACATGAAGGATAGTGGGTGGGCTAACTCCATATGTGGATTGGTGATGCTAGCCAAGGCCGGGGGAGGCTTATACCCAAACCCTTATGCCCTGACAGTAGTACTGGACCTCCAAGTCTAGGTGGCATACTGGAGAAATCGCCTATTATTGTCTATACCTTTTTCTCTTCAGATTTCCTAACGATTTTCTATACCTGACCTGGTTGAGATAGGTCAAACGTTGGATCCGGTAGGGTTTATGCCACCTAGACTGCTCAACCTCAGTTGTTGGAGCTCTCCTAGTTGTATATGCTTGACGACGCATTAGTTGATGTTGCATGGGTTGTTGCATTCAAGTTGTATATAATGTTGTATGAATGAGTTGATAGTTGAGCTATGTGATTGTGTTGTGATGAGTTGTTGATCACTAGGACTAGAAGAGAAGTTTTTAAAGTTGCTCATCCCATTGTGCGGATTGAGATAGTTGTGGTGCTCTGAGAGCCTAATTTGTTTGAAAACCCTCCTTGGAAAGTCCCTTGGAGTGGATGATGTGTTGTTCTCCTCTAGAACTTGGTTGGTCCCGTGTGGGCAAGGTCGAGGCACACGTGTATGAAGCGACCACAGTATAGGGGTCAGGCCGAGCTATACCGATTTACAAGCGGCCAATTTGAATAAAGTGGGATGTGTTGAAAATGTTGTTGCTAGTAGTTGATATTGTATATCTATTGTTGTAGATGTTGTGTTGTTTTAAGTTGTAAGTTGAAAGTAGAATTCTATTGCTGTTTATTATATGTTGATGCTATTTTTTTATGTTTGTTGTGAGCTTACCTTAGCGTGTTTTCTCTATGTGGTTGAGACTATGATGACCATACCTTGATATGCGAGCAAATCAGGAGTAGGTGCTCTGCTGGACTGAGTGAGCTTCTTTTTGGTTGGGACTCAGGAGGAGGGCTGACGTTGTATTTAGTTGATTGGTAGCTTTTGACTACCTAGTTGTTGTATAGGATATTATTTCCCTACTTTCAGTTATATATAGTATAAGATTGTTTTAGTTGTGTATCCTCAATATATATATAATTGTTTAGTAGTGAGATTTTATTTTATACTTGTATTTGGACGCTATAGACAGTGTGAGACCTGGTGGGTCGTTACAATTTGTTCTTGAATCATTAATTTGAAAATTTTGGGAAATAAATTAGTAGAAAAATTAGTGGGATAAAAAATTGGTGTTTACAAATATTAAGATTATTTTTTATTTTTAACGTTCATCAAAATATTATACAAGTATTTATTTATTTTAATTGCTAATTAATTGCCAATTTTTAACAAAAATGATTTAAGCTTTTCAAATACAAGTTCATTAAATATTTTCCAAATTAATTTTTTTAAATTTTAATTATTTAAATAAATAGACAAAGTGTGAAATGGCCTGCCTATAGCCCAAATAAAGTTAGATTCGCGGTCGATAACTAGTTAGCCTAATATATTTGACCCATTGCCTGCAAGCTTATAGCGACTTAAGTGGATCGATTTGACCCAAATTATATCACAATAATCAAAGGACTTTAGATACTTTTAAGGATTATTATCAACTAACTAGAGGATGAATTGAAAACTAAGATCTGTCCTTTGAAGAAAATCAAGACGAAACTTTAATTATGAAATCAAGACCTGTTTTACACGTTAACCACACTTGCTTATATCTGCCTTATTAATGATGTATTGGTTTTAATGAAGTGATCATAGCAATAACTTTGATTATTGAGTTGAATTAAAATTTTTAAAAAAAAATTGGTGCATATTGACCTTGCTTATGTGTTTTGAGTTTTGACCGTATATAACTTAGACTTTTAATATTTGAATTTTATGTGCTAAAGCTAAGAAAAAGATCTTCAAATTAAGTGCTAAAATGCCAATTCGGATGACTTTGGAACTTGAATTGAACTTTGAATTTGGATTAGAACTGGCATCATGCATGAGAGATATGAATACATTTACTAATTAGGACACACACACGCTTTGGATCCAAGAAATTCTCTTTCTTTTTTTCTCTCTTTATGTATATCTACATTTTTTTCTTTTACATTTTTCTTAAAGCTTCTCCGATCGTGATGATCATGAAAGACTAAAGACATTATCAATCTAAGGTATTCAAGGAGTGTGGTTTGGATTTTGAGTTTATATGCCTAATGGTTGTTTTGCATGATTTTTATCCTATCCTCTTTCTTTAGTTTTGCATGAATTTTGCATCAAATCACTAAAAAACCAGTGTGATTTATGGCCGTTAATTAATTTTGCATAATTGATTTGACCTAATTTCAACTGGATTTACATTTCGTTCTCATAATTGAAGTGGTTAAGGTAAGATATTGATTAATCCAAAATCAACAAAGGTTAGGTTAATCAATCAATGATCTATGTTAAATTAATATATATCATTCGAAACCAATCTGGTTAACACTTATACCATATTATTAACATACAAATTCAGCCTAACCAAATAATAGAAATGAAACTAAAGAAACCTCATTAATTAGCTATTGAAATACCACCAACAAAATTAACTGTGAGAGTTCTCGATCTTCTACAAATATCTCAAAAGAAACGGGAGCAATATTATTAAAAAAAATAAGCCTCGAAAATAACATTGCACAATATTTAAAAAAAGGACAATAAAAAACCCAGTGCAAACTGGCTGAACAAGTTTTGTTTTTAAATCGATGTTCCTCGATCCAGACGTGTCCGAATGTTTTCTTGTCGATTCTTTACTGATCCAACTTTACGATCATGAGTTGAATGGATCAAACTCCTGAATGGCTTTCTCTCCAAATCGGATCTAATTTTCTAATAATTAATTGGTCACATAATCTATTCAGGGTAGCTAGCTAGGTGAATTGTTGGGGCACATTAAAGTGACCAAAAAGCAGCTAGCGTACAACGTGAACATGTATTATGTAGATTCAATTGAAATGTGTGAAGCAAGAACCTAAACCCTGGAGGTAGCGTGTGAACGTTATTCTGGGGTTTGAAAGAGAAGGAGAGAACGTACAGCGAAAAAGAAGGAAAAGATTCTTGTATCGAACTGGACACAAATATGACAATGATGGTCCTCTTGAGCGTCTCACTAAGCTTGTACTTTGAAGTATATAAAGGGAAAGTGGATTCACAGTGAGTGTGGTGGAAACTCGCATTGGGATCGCCAATCTTCATATGACTTTGTCTTTCCCT